TGCGAAAAAATGTATTTGTTAATATAAAATCTGCAAAAAGGCGTAAAACTGTAAAAATATAAAATCTGCGAAAAAATGTATTTGTTAATATAAAATCTGCAAAAAGGCGTAAAACTGTAAAAATATAAATTGAATGAAAAGGAAAAAAAAGCAACTTGGACTAAAAACAAATTCACTCCACTCTGCTTTCAGTCAATCTCTCTGTTTGTGCAGCAACATCTTTTTTTTTGTGCTGCTTTTGTTTTTTGCACTGATGATGTTCCTCCGGTCCCTGGAGGTCCGTCACATTCTGATCGGACCTCCAGGAACCGAGTCCAACCCAAACAAAGAGTCGGCGCTGCATCCGACGGCGTTATTGTGGAGGTTTCCTCTAAATGGCTCCTGAAGCGTCTCATCGCTCTTTTATTAGAGGTTCTTCACATCTGGATCCACTTTTAGAGGCTTTTAGAGGAATGCTGCTCCACCGTTTCTCACAGACGGTGAATCCTGGTGAAACTGCGGCTCACCTGCTCCTGTCGGCCTAACTCTGTCTCCTCCTCTCTGGACAGTTCCACGGACGCCGCCCAGGAACATCCAGGTGTACAACCCCAGCCCCAACAGCCTGAACGTGCGCTGGGAGGCAGCCACGGGTCTGGTGCAGCAGTACCGCGTGGCGTACGCCCCCCTGAGTGGAGTCAGACCCTCAGAGTCGGTGAGTTTTACTCCAGCAGGAGCTCAAAGAAAAAACATTTATTTCCACCAAGAGGTCAGAAGCAGGTCAGGATGTTTTTTAGCTCAGGATTTAGGATCCAGTATTAAATCTGTCTTTAAAAGATTTTTCCCAAAAGAGCCTCCAGAACCAATCATTAACCCCACTCTCTGTAATTCAGTTAATAAAATACTTTCTTTTTCTGGAGACGTTTAAAACCGTCAAATGAAACAAAACTTTTGTGTCTGAGGCCTAAAAAGTCTGTAGTTTGATTCCCACTGAAGGTTCTGGTTCTGACCCGGCTTTTTCCACACCATATCCTGATCCAAAGACAGACCGTCGCCAAGTGAAACTTGAAGCGCAGCCATTTTGTCCTGGTTCCAATCTGAAAAGTGCGGCATGCTTTTGTTTTCAGCTACTTTGAATCAAACCCAATCAGCAGACTCTTCATTATCACTCAGAGTCCAGCTGGGAGTTTTTTAATCTCAGTGCGAATCCAACAGTTGTTTGGAGATCTGGACTTTAACTAGGCCGTTCTACCATCAGTTCCGTCTCTGGTTGGAGGTTCTGCTTGGTTCTCAGTCCCAGGTCTCAGAAAAAGCTTTTCTTCCTGGATTCAGCTCCATCCATCCGACCCGCTTCGCCTCCCACAGCATGATACGGCCTCCTCCGTGTGTCTTTGTGGGGACTTGTGCGTTCTCCTGGGCTCAGCCGCTGCGCTAGTTCTGTTCCTGTTTACCAGAACAGCAGACGGAGAACGGACAAAGTCCCCGGATGTTGTTCTCGCCCCTCCCTCTTTACCCAGCATGCATCAGAGCAGACTTATCTGTTCTCAAGATTGACAGCTGTCCCAGCATGCACTGCTGCAACAGCAACAGCTGCCAGGTTAGCGCTCACAGAGCTCAGAGTATGTACATATGATTATATACATTTTAAGATCATTTCAGGCGAGAACATTAAACTTTAACGTTCAATATATGGCCTGTTTACTGATTTAATAAAATGCGTGATAAAAAAAATCAGATGTTGAGGGGACCATGGCAACCAGTGGACCTCCGAGGCTAACCACAGCCAGGGCTAACGTTAGCCC